ACTTCAGACATTTTGACGAGGGATTGTTTGGGACTTGTAACGAGACTTGGTGTTGACGACTTTCCCATCTCTCCCCTCCTCTTCGTCTGATCCCCTCCTCTTCGTCTGTGCATGGCTGGACCTGGCGCCTCTTCCTGTGTATAGGCCAGGCCTCTTCACATCTTGTGACGAGAATGATGTATGTTTAGTCTGCATTGCGACATTGATTGGACTCGTCATTAGTATTGTAGCCTTCTGCTTCGCTATCTTGTACTACGTAAAGAGGTCAGTCCCGGTCAAATCAGGACTTGTATCTAAGTCTTCCACTGCGCTGTAAAGCACCATTTTGGCATTTTGTATGTATCAGAATGTACACTGCTCGTTAAGATTTCACTTGCACCGCATTGTCCATTCAGTCATTTTCATCACATTGCGGATCCTTGGTTATTGTGTACATCGCCCATCTGGGCATGTAACAAAGTCACTCACCAAGACGCAAGCAGGCCGTTATATCTCCAGGAGGAGCCAGTTGCTCCTCCTCATTGTCGGTGTGCAAGTTTGGCGACACACGGGTTGGAGCGTTGGCTGGAGCAGCACTAGCATCAGCTGCGCTGCTGGGGAAGGAGCAAGGACACGGAGGAGGAAGAAGACCAGGACTAGGAAGAGGAGCGCCAGAGGTACTTACCTGGCTATGGTGGTTGCCATCTTCATCACCTTGGTGGGCGTCGTAGGAGGAAAGCCCAGTTGGGGCGGAGCTGCACGGTGACCAAGAAGCTTCGAGGCAGAGTCAGGCGTGAGAGCCTGAGCTAGAGCAGCCATAGCTGCTTTGTGTTGTCCTTTGGACAGCAGGGCGATGCCCTGGTAGTCCGCCATAGCCTCGACCTATGTCGAAGAGAGAGAGAGGGGCGGCCATGGCGATGGTCGACCTCAAGTGATACCTGCAGTAGAAGAGGGAATCGGACATTGATTCTGGATCAGCAATTCAACATTGTTATTATTATTCTTGTTTGATTAAGAGGGGAGAAGATAAGGAGGAGGAGAGTGGTTGGCGAAGAAGAAGAGCATTATCATTGGTCTATGCTGGTGTACATCATCTTCTTTTTTTTTTTTTTTCCTTCTTCTTCTTCTTCTTTCCCTCTTTCTCCTCTCAAGTTCATTCATTTCTTTTTGCAAGTGGAGTGGACGGCATTGTACTTTCTGATGAATGTGGCCAGGATCATAACATTGGTATCAGAGTGGATTCTACTTGCTGGTGAGAGTTGACTTTGCTGCCCTAACCCTAACCTAAGTGGGTGGTCAACACTTAGGGTTAGGGTTGGTTGTAAGGGAAGTGAAACGGTTTTCACCGAAACTGGTGACAGATGCAGATCCCAGGGCTCGATCCGTAGACCTTCCCTTGCCCGTGTACAGTACCCGTTTGACCCTGTGTGTTTGAACCCGCGACCTATCCCTTAAAAAGTCGTAGGTTTTGACTGCTCTACATAGTTGGTCGCGTGGACTCGACCTGTAGACCTTAGTTTTAGTCATCGTAGGGTCAGTCTAGGTCGTAACTGCTACAGTCCCGAAAGGTCAAGTCTAGGACCTTCTAGACTGGTCTAACTGCCTCTTCGTAGGTCGTAGGAGTCAGTCCGTAGCTGAGTCAGCAAGGGGCAGTCCTAGTCCAGTCAGCAAAGGGCAGTCCCAGTCCTACTTAGTCTAGTCAGCGGTACCCAGTCCCGGTCTCACCTAGTCTAGTCAGCAAGTACCATGTGGGACTGTGTACATCGCGGGCCCAGGTCAAGAGGCCAGACCACCGACCATCCGAAGTATAAATAAAGAGGCAGCGTCAAGTCATTCATTCATTCTACCTGTGAGCGGTGCGGAAGCACTGTCGGAGCGTCTTGTGTAACGGAGGTCTGCAGGTGCCCAAGGGAGAAGAGGGCTAAGAGGAGGAAGACGCGGCCATAGCCGCGAGTTAGTAGGAGAGAGACGGCAGCCATAGCTGCCACGTAGGTTAGTGATAGGAGGGGTGTGTGTGTGTGTGTGTATGCGTGTGGGACATTCAGGGTGATCCTAGCTACTGCGTATGTGTGTGTGTGTGCGTGCGAACAAGTTGCTAGTGGATACAGTTGATCGGGTGGGAATCTTTGGTGGGCGCTGGGCTCCATAGCCATTTGAGACAAGTTGAATCTGAACTGTGTTCCTGGCCACGTTCTTATCTCTGAGCTTTGTGTGGGCGCACTGCGCCAGTGGAGTCGTCCTCTGTTTTGCATGCATGCTGAAGCGAGATGAACTGAGTCTGATTTCACCTCTATCAGAGCTGGTTCCCGCTGTCCCGCTGTCGTCGCGATCGCTGTCGTCGTTTTTATCGCCGATCGCCATCGCTGTTCGTCGTCACCATCGCCACCCTCACCGACTGAAGAGGTGGCGCCGACGTGCCAAGATTATGCACCCGCATGCGTCGTTATTTCCCGTGCACCACCCGTTGTTGCATACCGCTGTGTCGCGCGCCCGTTGTTCGTCGCGCGCCGCTGCCATTTCCGCTGGACACCGCTGTTGATTGTGCGCGCCCGCACGCTTGCTACCATCTGCGCACATTGTTGCTTTCGCGCACGCCTAGCTGCTGATCGCGCGCGCTCCTGGGCTGCTGTCCCACGTGCGCTGTCCCGGCCCTCCGCTGTGTACCAGGCGCTTACACACGAACCACACTGTGTACCAGGCGCCTACTCGCGTACCACGCTGTGTATCTGGTGCCTGCTCGCGTATCATGATGTGTACCTTTAGCCTGCTTAGGAGCCCCTTTGGTCCGCCAGCCTACGGATCTCTGCAGCGTACTGGGCTTACACAGGTGGTACCTGGCTGTGGACCGGTCCGGTCGGAGCTCGCCCTGGCAAAAGGGGGGGGGGGGTGCCGCTGGACTTTCCACTGGTCCATGCAGGCCCGGCGCCCTGCTGTGCAGGAGAGCACTTCCAGCCTGCGACCGCGGTAGCTGCCGGGCTCGCCCAGAGACGGCAGAGGGACTG